ATCATCATCAGCATCAGCATCAGCATCAGCATCAGCATCATCATCATCATCATCATCATCGTCATCATCATAATCATCAGCATCATCAGCATCATCATCATCATCATCATCATCATCATCATCATCATCATCATCATCATCATCATCATCATCGTCATCAGCAGCAGCAGCATCATCATCATCATCCATGTCGGCACACCGCCCACGCGGGTCGTGTCCGGGGGGGATCTCTGCGCCCGCGGCCCCCCCGGCGGAGGGTGCGCCCCCGCGAGGATCGCGCCGCAGAGGCATCGCCCACCTGCAGCGGGGAACTCGCGCGGCGCTGCCCCGGCAGGTCTTGGCGGCGCGCACCCGGGAGGGTAAGGTTAAGTCGGGCCTGTCCCCCTACAGGGGATTTTCGACGAAAAATTGAAAATACCCAAAAAAATATAAGAAAATTGTCAAAGAATAATGTGGGGACTATGTTTGGACTATTTTTGTTGCCTTTCTGGAGCATTTTTGGGGTATTTTTTTTTCGTCGAAAATCCCCCTGCAGGGGGATACGCCCGACAGAAGGGTATGGGGAGGGGGGAGGGCCCCGCTGGAGGGCGCGCCCCCGCGAGGATCGCGCCGCAGAGGCATCTCCTCCTGCAGCGGGGAACTCGCGCGGCGCTGCCCCGCCAGGTCTTGGCGGCGCGCACCCGGGGGGGGTAAGGGGAGGGGCACGGATGGCTTTCGCCGGGGTTGGCTTTCGCCGGGCTTCGTTTCGCCGGGCTTCGTTTCGCCGGGCTTCGTTTCGCCGGGGTTGGCTTTCGCCGGGGTTGGCTTTCGCCGGGGTTGGCTTTCGCCGGGGGTTGGCTTTCGCCGGGGCTGGCTTTCGCCGGGTTGGCTTTCGCCGGGTTGGCTTTCGCCGGGGTTGGCTTTCGCCGGGGTTGGCTTTCGCCGGGGTTGGCTTTCGCCGGGTTGGCTTTCGCCGGGGTTGGCTTTCGCCGGGTTGGCTTTCGCCGGGGTTGGCTTTCGCCGGGGTTGGCTTTCGCCGGGGTTGGCTTTCGCCGGGGCCGGGCGGGGAGCAGGCGGGGCAGGCTCAGGGGCAAAAGTAGGCGCCGCCGTCGCTGGCGTGGCCGTCGCCGCCGCCGTGCTGACCCCTGGGAGCCTTTGAGGCGCGCCGCTTGAGTAGGCGAAAGGGTCGCAGAGACGTGGGGGGGGGGGGTCAAGGAGGTCCCAGATGTCAAGGAGGGTCTGAGATGCGTCAGAACGGGACGCTAAAAAAAGCGGGGCGCGCTCAAGTGGGCACGCGTGAGCCCCAGCGTGCGGGCTCGATCGGGTGGGCGGACCCTAACGGGCGGGACGGGTCGAGCGGACCCTCACACGCGGGCCGGGTCGGGCGAGCGGATCCTAACGGGCGGGGCGGGTCGCGCCGGGTCGGGCGGACCCTAGCGGGCGGGTCGGGTCGGGCGGGCGGGACACTAAAGTGTGGGGCGCGCTCGAGTGAGCACGCGTGAACCCTGACGGGCGGGTCGGGTCGGGTCGGGCGGACCCTAACGGGCGGGACGGGTTTCGGGCGGACCTGACGGGCGGGTCGGGTCGGGCGGGGCGGGACACTAAAGTGTGGGGCGCGCTCGAGTGAGCACGCGTGAACCTGACGGGCGGGTCGGGTCGGTCGGGCGGACCCTAACGGGCGGGACGGGTTCGGGTCGGGCGGACCCTGACGGGCGGGTCGGGTCGGGCGGGCGGGACACTAAAGTGTGGGGCGCGCTCGAGTGAGCACGCGTGAACCCTGACGGGCGGGTCGGGTCGGGTCGGGCGGACCCTAACGGCGGGACGGGTTCGGGTCGGGCGGACCCTAACGGGCGGGTCGGGTCGGGCAGGCGGGACACTAAAGTGTGGAGGCGCGCTCGAGTGAGCACGCGTGAACCCTGACGGGCGGGTCGGGTGGGGCAGGCGGACCCTGGCGGGCGAAGCGGGTCGGGTCGGGTCGGGCAGACCCTAACGGGCGGGTCGGGTCGGGCGGGCGGGACACTAAAGTGGGCGCGCTCGAGTGAGCACGCGTGAACCCTACGGGCGGGTCGGGTCGGTCGGCGGACCCTAACGGGCGGGTCGGGTTCGGGTCGGGCGGACCCTAACGGGCGGGTCGGGTCGGGCAGGCGGGACACTAAAGTGTGGAGGCGCGCTCGAGTGAGCACGCGTGAACCCTGACGGGCGGGTCGGGTCGGGTCGGGCGGACCCTAACGGCGGGCGGGTCGGGTCGGGCGGGCGGGACACTAAAGTGTGGGGCGCGCTCGAGTGAGCACGCGTGAACCCTAACGGGCGGGTCGGTCGGGTCGGGCGGACCCTAACCGGGCGGACGGGTTCGGGTCGGGCGGACCCTGACGGGTCGGGTCGGGCAGGGCGGGGACACTAAAGTGTGGGGCGCGCTCGAGTGAGCACGCGTGAACCCTGACGGGCGGGTCGGGTCGGGTCGGGCGGACCCTAACGGGCGGGGCGGGTTCGGGCCGGGCGGACCCTAACGGGCAGGTCGGGTCGGGCAGGCGGGACACTAAAGTGTGGAGGCGCGCTCGAGGGAGCACGCGTGAACCCTGACGGGCGGGTCGGGTGGGGCAGGCGGACCCTGGCGGGCGAAGCGGGTCGGGTCGGGTCGGGCGGACCCTAACGGGCGGGTCGGGTGAAGCGGGCGGGGCACTAAAGTGTGGGGCGCGCACGAGTGAGCACGCGTGAACCCTAACGGGCGGGTCGGGTCGAGTCGGGCGGACCCTAACGGGCGGGCCGGGTCCGGCAGGGCGGACCCTAATGGGCGGGTCGGGTCGGGCGGGCGGGACGCTGAGGTGTGGGGCACGCTCGAGTGAGCACGCGTGAACCCTAACGGGCGGGTCGGGTCGGGTCGGGCGGACCCTAACGGGCGGGGCGGGTCGGGTCGGGTCGGGTTCGGTAAGAGGAGCAGCAGCAGCAGCAGCATGAAAGAACAGTAGAGGGAAGAGGAGAAGAGGAAGAGGAGGGCGAAGTTGAACCCAGGCGAAAACGAGCCCGGGCGAAAGCCAACCCGGGCGAAAGCCAACCGGGCGAAAGCCAACCCGGGCGAAAGCCAACCAGGCGAAAGCCAACCCAGGTGAAAGCCAACCGGGCGAAAGCCAACCGGGCGAAAGCCAACCCGGGCGAAAGCCACCCCAGGCGAAAGCCAACCGGGCGAAAGCCAACCCGGGCGAAAGCCAACCCGGGCGAAAGCCAACCCGGGCGAAAACCAACCCGGGCGAAAGCCAACCGGGCGAAAGCAAACCCGGGCGAAACGAACCGGGCGAAACGCACCGGGCGAAAACCAACCCGGGCGAAAAACATCTACGCCAGGGGAGGGGGGGGGGCTTCTTCCTCTCGGCAGCACAGCGTCTTCGCTCAGCGCGCGCCCGCCCGCGGAGGCGGCCAGGCGCGGCCAGCTCAGGCTTTTGTTCGTTCCCCTTCGGCCTGGGTCAGGGGCTGCGGCTCGCAGGCCGGAGGGGATTGAAGTACGCCTTCTGGAAGGCCGTTTGGGAGGGAGGGCTTCTGAGAAGGCGGCTGAACCTCAGAAAGCGCCATCCTTGTCTACAGATGCAGGGCCGGCGCCTTCTGAGGAGCAGCCCCCTTCTAAGAAGCTTCCCCCCCTCCCCTTCACCCCCCTGGCGCGCGCCGCCAAAGTCCGGCACACTCCACACACGGATCGCGCCCCATGGGGAGCTCCACCCATAGCCCCACTGCGGGGCGCAGTATCTGAGCAGTGGCCTTCGCCGCGCGCTGCACTCAGACGCATAGGGTCAGGTCCCTCGCCGGGCAAGCTCAAGCTCCTGAATGCTACAATCTCGCAGCTCCATGCGAGCTTCCTTCTCGAAAAAACAGGCTGCCCAGCTGCGGGAACCATAGCAGAAGGAAGTGTCGGCCAAGGAAGTGACGTCCACCGAGGAAAAGCACTGTCCTAGAAGCGCGGCGCTGCAAAATGAGCAGGTGCAGCAAGGTCCACACCACCGCCAGCACTGGAAGCGCATTTTCATGCGGCGTCCTCCATCATCCTGTATGCTGTCATCGTCTGCCACGCAACGGCCGTCTTCCCATCCTGACCCCACCCCAGCCCCTCTCTCTCTCTCTCCATTTTTCTCTCTCTCTCTCTCTCTCTCTCTTTCTCTATCTGCCCATATCTCTCTCTCTCTCTCTGTCTCTCATTATCTCTCTCTCTCTTTCTCTATATGTGTGTGTTTATCTATCTCTCTCTCTCTCTTTATCTCTCTCTCTCTCTCTTTCTTTCTCTCCCTATCTCTCCGTCTTTCTATATACCCCAAAGAATTCTGTCTATTAGGGTTTCTGGGTCTGCGGGCCGGTCCAGCGGTTCCGTGCTCGCTGTCGCCGCCCCGTCGCCGCCTCGTCGCCGCCCCGTCGCCGCCCGTTACCTGGGCCTGCGTGCCACTCTGGCGGTTCCGTGCTCGCTGTCGCTGCCCCGTCGCCGCCTCGTCGTTGCATTGCTCTGCATTGCGTTGCTTTGCCCAGCTTTGTACTGCCGCGCGTTGCTTTGCATTGCTGTGCATTGCCTTGCTGTGCGTTGCTTCGCGGTACTTTACATGACATTGTTTTGCGATGCTGTGCATCGCTCTGCCCTGAGCATTGATGTGCATTGCTTCGCGGTGCGTCACGTTGTTTCGCAGTGTCTTGCATTGCTGCGTCCTGCTTTGCATGGCTTTGCGGTGTTTTGCTTTGCGCTGCGTTGCTTAGAATTTCTTTTCTACAAGAGAATGTGGGTCCACCGCCCTCCCGACGCTGGCCTTATCCGTACCCCCTGGGAGAAACGCAAATTACTCATGACTTTTGCCCGTCGTGCACTCTTAAGTTGAATTCAGACCATCCCTGCCAAACAAATATCGACGCCCCCTTCATCCTCGTCAAATAACACTGTGCACGCATTGCCGATCATCACCAATTATCACGTATCCCAAACCATGGATAGAACAATACACAAAAAAACGACGTGTACACGCGCGCGCCGTCGCGCTCGCATGCCGAAGTCCATCAAAAACAGTGGGCGCCGTACGGATTTCAAAAACGAGCGCCCCGAACACACACACACACACACACACACACACACCCACAGACACACACACACACACAGACACACACAGACACACACACACACACACACGCTTCAAGCAAAGAACAAGTGGTTTGCAGCATGGCGTTTGAAAAAAGTGCGCGCGCCCCCTTGCGAATTCTTGCAAGAACAACAGGTTGCCAACATGCTCATCAAATGCAACCACACAGGCCTCTCGCGCGCGCATGTCGAAGTCCTTCGAGCGCAATTTCGCGCGTGCTGGAGGGGGCACGATCCCTGTCGAGAGATACCGTGCGGGCCTCTCGTGCGCGGCGGCCGCGCGCGCATGTCGAGATCCTGCCACAGCCTTCATCACCGACACGTGGACACCAGTATCGTCATCGGCGCGATCAGCATCGGCGCCGTCGCTGGTCCGGCCGTCGCCATTGCCATCAGCGCCACCAGCACCGATACTATGATCATCGCGCCTGTCGACGTCGCCACGATACCACGCCCGCCCGAACCACCGACTCGCACTGAAGTCGAGGCGCGCTACCGCGGCCGCGTGGGTCTAGCCAGACTATCTGGCGGCTCTACGCGCGAGCCTGCGCGCGCTAGCACGACCGCCGCGATGTGACAGCCAGCGCCAAGCAGTCATCGCAATCGCCTTCGCATGGGTTGTGCAAACCAAGTTGCGAGTGGGTGGGTGGGATGATTGCGCGAGCAATGGAGTTGACAATTTCAGGCTCGGCAGCGTGAATTGCACCGCATATATTGCACCACATAGATTGCACACAACATAGTGCACAACCTAGATTGCACAAGAATCCATATTGCCCAACATACATTGTACCACCTAGGTTGTTCCAATAGTGCTGGAAACACACTGGTTGAGGGTCACGCTGGCTAACGTGCTGTACACGTACACGTAGATGCACGCATTGATACATAAATGTATAAATATACCTATGTATATATATATATGTGTGTATATACAGATGTGCATACATGCATACATGCATGCATACACACTTATACGTACACGTACATATACCTACCTACAAACATGCATACCTACACACCTACATGCATACATACGTAAACACCTGGAGGCATACATGCATACATGCATGCAAGCATACATGTATACATGCATACACGCATACATACCTACATGCATACATACGTACAGACAGACAGGCAGACAGACAGACAGCCATACATTCGTACGTACATACATACATACATCAACACACATACATGCATACATGCATACATGCATACATACATGCATACGCACACGCCTGCATGTGCGTACATGCATACATGCATGCATACCTACATGTATGCATACATACATACATACATGCCTACACGAGTATACATATTCGTGCATGAATGCATGCATATGTACATGCATACTTGCATGCATACATACGTGAGTACATGCATGCATGCATACATACACACACCTATACACATATATATATATACACGTACAGCAATGCATGCATAGCGTGTGCGCGAACGTGCATGCATGCAAGCATGCATGCATGCATGCGTGCGTGCGTGCGTGCGTGCATACATACATACATATATATACATATACATACATACATACATATATACATACATACATACATACATACATACATACATACATACATACATACATACATACATACATACATACGTGCATGCATGCATGCATGCATGCATACTGACATATGCACACCGTTCATATACACAAACGTAGCACCCCGCCGATGCGGATAAGAGTGAGGGGGCGGTGAGGACGTCGGCAGTTTGCGAGACTCTGGAGAAGCCCGCCCCAGGCGCCAAAGTTTCACACATTATGCAACGATCCCGCCGCAGGCGCCGAATTTTTCGTGGAACCAATGTGGGTAGGTCGCGGATGGGTCGCGGGTGGATCGCAAATGGTTCGCGGGTGGGTCGCGGGTGGGTCGCTGTTGGGTCGCGGGTGGGTCGCGGGTTGGGTCGCGGGTGCGTCGGGGGTGGGTCGCGGGGTGGGTTCGCGGGTGGGTCGCGGGTGGGGTCGCGGAGTCGCGCGGGGTGAGTCGCGGGTGGGTCGCGGGGTGGGTCGCGGGTTGGTCGCGGGGTGGGTCGCAAGTAGGTCGCGGGTTGGGTCGCGGGGTGGGTCGCGAAGTGGGTCGCGGGGTGGGTCGCGGGGTAGGTCGCGGGTGGGGCGCGGGTGGGGCGACGACAACAAACAAACAGACAACAACAACAACGCAACAAGCAGAATCCTCACCAAGGATCCTCACTTCAGCCACGCACCCAGGGACAATGAATGACCGTTCGGCTCCCTAACCCTGACATACATTGCACACATCTACAGAAATATGATTATGTGTATATATATATACATGCGTGTAACATCCAGCGCTGGCATGGGCATGCACGTTCCACCCTCCGCTGTAGCAGAACATTACAAAATACCAGCTCGTCGAAGCTAGGCGTCCGATGTCGCGGCAAAACAGCTCCAACCACGAAATCGGTGAACATTCCGCCAGTATGCTGCCGCATTTGCCTGGGCACGGTCCCTGCGGGAGAACATGATGGTTGCCCCACTGCGCTTGAGAGCACGAAGCATCGCTCAACTCCATCAATCACAACCTGAGCCTTTAATCGTCGTTCGTTGTAATTCTCGATGCAACTCACACAGGCCCATATATTGGAGCACCTTCGATGCTGGAATGCGCCTGCGGCTGAAGCGCCACCGACAGCATTGACTTCAGACTGGGCTCCCGCTTCCTTCGTACGACTTGGTCCAATCATAAAAGGCCTCCTAGATGGGGTCCGAGAAGATGGGGTCGGAGGACCTCGCCGCATCGCCGATACATCGGCGATGCGCTGGCGGCGTCGGCGATACATCGGCGACGTCGGCGTGGAGAAAATTGGGGGCCCCCATCGAGCCGCATCGCCGATGCATCGGCGATGCGGCGCGATCCTCCGACCACATCTGCTCGGACCCCATCTGGGAGGCCTAGATAATACTACTTGTCCCAATCATACAACCCAGATCAGAGGCGTTTATATTCGCGCCCACTCGGGTGCCCTGGCAAGATGATCCAGCGCGTCGGCCTGCGCGGGAATCCGATCACGGGGCAACGAGGGCCACGGAGAAGAGGATCAGGAGGGGGAGGAGGAGAAGGAGAAGGAGAGGTAGGAGGTACGGGAGGAGGAGAGGGAGGAGGATCGAGGCTCCAGGATGAAGGCTTTTGGACGCTTCCTGTCCTTTGGGGAGGCCTTCGGGGGCCACTGGATGACCCTGGTGGTCGGATGCCTCCAGAAGACCTCCAGAAGACCTCCAGAGACCTCCAGGGACCTCCAGCGGGGGAGGAGGAGGAGGAGGAGGAGGAGGAGGAGGAGGAGGAGGAGGAGGAAGGAGGAGGAGGAGGAGGCAAAGAGGAGGCAAGGAAGAGGCAAGGAGGAGGGAGGACCACCCGTAGCATTCCATACGAATGCCGCCCACGCAACTGTTACACCCCCTCCAATGAACGTGCTCACCCAAATGCCCCCACCATTGGCGGATAGACCAGCAATATAACTGCCCTGGCGAGTCCGTCCGCCGACCAATCAAGCTCGCGTCAGGCGCATGGAGATGGCCACGCCCGTAAACTCGCATGCCAAATCAAGCCGACGCCGCACCGGCCTCGCATCGGCAAGCAGAGGACTGCTCGACTGCCTGCGGCGCGCCCTCCCAGACTGCCTTCGGTGTTGGACAGCGCTCGTGAGAGGTCGGAGCGGTCCCAAAGACGCTCAGCTTCCCCAAGACTGAAGAATCCACCAAGAGATTCAAGAACTCAGGCGGCGCGTCCTCCCAGGCGGCCTTCGGCTGGGCGGCGCTCGTAAGAGGTCGAGGCGGTTCAAAGAAGACGCTACGTACACCACGCCCTCACACAGTCGGACCGAGGCCAGAAGAACATTCCCCAAGAACACGAGACCCTTCGCCGGCCACAACGCACTGAACATCCAAGGGTACCCTCCCCAGGGTGCACAAAAACATCCAACAAGTACGAAGAACACTGGGTTACCCATCGGTCGGAAGAAGTAGGCAGAAACATGAAGTAGGAAGGCGTTGGAAAAAGATTGGGTGTCCGCCCGCCCCCTAAAGAGGACGGAGAAGGTGAAGCCACTCGATCATTGGAGTAGGCAGGCGCTTAAAGTCGATTGGAATCTGGGAATCCAAAAATACCTACTTTCAACGAGCGATAGGTACCCTCCCCGAGCCGACCTTAGGGGGTGCTGCCCCGCGCCTCGCGACTTGAGGGCGCAGCTCAAGCAGGGGCGCTGGCCGTGGGACCCGGAGGTGGGCTCCCATGCGAGCGGGGGCCCCCGTCTGACAACACACCCCCATAACAGTCGACGCGCTGCCAGAAAGGAGCGTCAAATCAGGAACGGAACCGTGCGTTCCTGGCCACGGCGAGCCTCGGCCACGAAGAGGCCCCCCCCCAAGCCCCGACACGAAGGAGAGGCCCGAGAGCTCGCGCCCCTCCTGGGCCCGAAGCGGTCCCTACTTCAGCGTCTTGAGCGGGCACCCCCCCCAACGGACTTCCGCCCCAGGGGTCGCATTTGGGTGTGGGTGCCAGCCGCCCGCTCATGAGGACCCGCCCGCCCCTCGGGGCGCCGCCTGCAGCCCCGCAGCACCACGGCCGCTGCCAGGCCAGCGCCCGCGAGCCGCCGTCGCTGCCCCATGGCGCGCCCCGCGTGGACATGGCGCGCGAGCGGCCATCGCCCGCGACGGGCGGCTGGACTGCGGCCTTCCGCAGGATTCGGCGAGGCACGGAACGCGAGGGAAGGCCGAGGCCGTCGGGCGAGAGCGAGGCGGTGCGTCCCCGGAGGGCCCGGGTTCCCCCAGGGAGGCTCGAGGCTGCCGGGCAGGGGCCTCGGACCCCGTCTCCTGGGGCCCTCTCGGGCCGTGCTGGGGCTCGCTGAGGGGTCTCTTGGGCCGTCTTGGGGCAATTTTGGCGGCTCCTGGAGCTGTCGTGGAGCGTCGGGCCCCCGGAGAAGCGAGAACGCCACAGCCTTTCAAAAACCTCTAGCTTGGGCACATTGGGGCCGTCTTGGAAGGGATCTTGGCATTCTCTTGGGGCATTTTGGAGGCCCCTTGGGCCGTCTCGAAGCGTCTCTGGCGCTCTGGAAGCCTCTTGGTCTGACTGGGGGCCCTCTGGGCTATCGGGACACCGCGAGACACCACGGCGGGACACCCCCAGCAACCGCGCGGACATCGACGGGACACCGACGGGACACCAACGGGACACCGACGGGCTAACGACGGCCACCGCCCGCCCACCGCGGGGGGAGGTTCGGACATTTGTCTTGCCCCGCCCTAGCCACCGGGACAACACGGCGGGCAACCCGGCCAAACCCGCCCACCAGGGGAGGTTCGGACAATTGTCTTGCCCCGCCATAGCAACAGCTCCTCTCGCCCGCCCACGCAGCTTCGCCTCGCACGCACGGACGACACGAACCCGAAAGCGAAACCGATTTCTCGGAGGGGGTCTCTCCGTTCCACGTCGATCTCACCCCCTAACCTCCGACATGCACGTATGTCTTAATCTCGCCAGCGCGCCTGGCCCCACCGCTATCGCGGTCCCGCTGCCCGGCTCCTCCGCCCCAGGGTCACACAGGAATGCGGGGAGGCGAGAGATACATCATGATATAAATTGTGGTGGTTCAACATCCTCCTCCTCCTCCTCCTCCTCCTCCTCCTCCTCCCTCCCTCCCTCCCTCCCTCCCTCCCTCCCTCCTTCCTTCCTTCCTTCCTCCCTTCCTCCCTCCCTCCATCCTTCCCTCCCTCCCTCCCTCCCTCCCTCTCTCCCTACCTCCCTCTCCCCTCCCCTCCCCCCCTCCCCCTCCCCTCCCCTCCTCCCTCCCCTCCCTCCCTCCTCCCTCCCTCCTCCTCCTCCCTCCTCCTCCTCTCCTCCTCCTCCTCCTCCTCCTCCTCCTCCTCCTCCTCCTCCTCCTCCTGCCCTGGCTCCTCCGCCTCGGATGACCTCGGTGAGTCCTCTCGCTTGTGGCCTCGCGCCACGTGATTGCAGCCCGTGGCACCGCGACGCTCGCCCCAGCCCGGCCTCTCAATATCCGTTACAGTCGGACCTAGGCCAGAAGAGCATCCTCCGTCGGCCAAAACAAGCAGAATATCCACGGGTACCCTCCCGGGACGCACAAGAACACGCAACAGGCACGAACAACATATAAGGGTAACCCTTTCCGAACCGACCTCGATCTTATACCTCTGTCCAGCTGTTGCAGGGACTTCGATGGGCGGGGCTGGTGATGATGACGACGATGATCAGCAGCAGTTGGACAAATCAGCTTTGTATGATGCCAGGTATCGCGGCTCATCCGCTGCCCTCCAGCTCTGGCGGCCCTCTGGGAAGTCAACACAATGAACAGAAGATGATTGATATTACAAAGTCGGCCATGGCCGAATGCAGTCATAGGCCGACTGCAATCAGAGGCCAACCGCATGGCAGCCGACTGGCACTCTAGAGGCTAGCGTCCATGGAGCACGTTTTTTTTACGATTCGCGAGAACGGCCGTTACTGGGCATGCTCTCCCCCCCTTCCCCTCCCATCCCACCTGGTAACGTCACGGCTCGCGCCGACGCCGTTTAGGCATGGCTAAGGGTAGGTAATTCCCAGACGGCGCCAGCGCACATCGTGATATTACCGGCCCCGTCGCCCCCCGCCCCTGGAGGCCTCCTAGATGGATCGGAATAGATGGGGTCGGAGGATCGCGCCGCATCACCGATACATCGGAGATTCATCGGCGATACATCGGCGATGCATCGGCGATGCAGCATCGACGTCGTCGATTTATCGGCGACTTCGACGTGAAGCAAATCGGGCTGAACATCGAGCAGTATCGGCGATGCATCGGCGATGCGGCACGATCCTCCGACCCCATCTACTCCGACCCCATCTGGGAGGCCTCGAGCCCCTCCCCCCGCCCGGTAACGCCCGTTCTCGGCCGGGAAGAAAGAAACGCCTCCATGGCCGACTGCAATCACAGGAAGAGGCTCCACGAGGCGGCAGAGCGCCTGTGCACAGCGGCAAGGGACCTTCTGGTCGGACTCGGCACGCGGCACGAAATCGCCCCCAGTGGCGGCGGGGCGCCCGCAGCGAGTAGCCCCGAGAGTCTGCCCATTGCCGAGGCCTTCCTGTCCTTCCATGCGATGTAGACCACCTGCGGATCTGGCAGCTCCTCATTTCTCTGGTTAGCAAATTCTGCGTCTCCCTGAAAACGCTTGATGAGGCTGCCCTCCATATCGAACATCTGCTGGATCGTCTCGGGTTCGTATACCCACTGCATCCTGTTGAGTACCGGCTTTATCTCGCGCTTGTATTTGCCATTCCAACGCTTGCGCATGCCGTCCTCTCCCCCTGAAGTGATGCCGACCCAAAACTTGTCTGTATCGCTTATCGCACGGCGGATCTCATGGGCTACGTCATCTACTGAGCTCTTGTCACGGTTAAAATCTGCCCTTATCGGTTCATGATTGTTACGTAACCAACTATTGCTAACCCAGTGATCAAGATTCTTCAAACCCACCGCTTCCTCAAAAGACACCATCCTGTCCAATATGTCGCCTTTTTCCTTGGAGCGCGTAGTGAAATTTGTCTCGGGCTGGGAATTGTCTAAGTCTGAGTCATGCCACACGGTGTACACCACGAATGGTTTCGGCAAAGGTGTCTCGTCCTTCTCATTGCCAACGATGTCATCCCCGAACTTCTCACGAAAATGCTCGATCAGATGTTTCTCCATCTTTTGGCGCCCATCAAAATCTCTTGCTGCAGGCATGTAAACCTGCGCCATCTTCTCCATCGATCCATATTTCTCCTTTGAATACTTCTTCGCCCATCGATTCTGCATGCCTATTTTTCCGTTCGAACACACGCCAATCCACATTTTTTCTGGTCGATCACTGGGTCCCTTCAAACCCAAGAGCTCCTCAGCCTTCCTGTCCACTTCTGCTTCCGGATAATTCCTGGGAATCTTATCTGATTTCACGGGTTCGATTCTGGGATCGCCTTGTCCAGCTTCGAAGGCTTCTTTAAAAGTCGGAGAGAAAGAAGTTGACTTTACGACGTGGCGTGGATGGCAACCTATCTCGAACAGGGCTCCGTGTGAACCGGCTATGCCCACCATTGCTGCACCACGGTCCCTGGGCTCAATGTCAATGGCCCCTGCGCTCAATGGTCTTGAGCCGCTAAACCTTCAGCCGAAATTGCTCCGGAATGTTGCCATTGATGGTGATGAATGCTCTCAACTTCTCCTCCAGAGAGCGCCAGGAGACGCCAAGGAGGCATCAGAAGGCCCCCAACAAGCCCCCAAGAGGCCTCCAAGAGGCCTTCAAGAGGCCCTCAAGAGGCCCCCAATAGGCCCACCAAGAGACACAAAACAAATATCCGAAGGGCCTTTGGCCCGGGACCCAAACACGGTGCCGAGATGGAGCGCAGGCAACTGCATCCTGATGAAGATTATCCCGGCAAAGCAACCTAACAGCGATGTGTAGAAGCATATCTGAAAGCATTCCCCTTAAGACTCAGATGAAAATCCAGTTGTCGAATTCTGCTGTTCTCGCAGTCGTAGTCGCATTCGCGATGACAGTCGCAGCGGCAACGGCAGTCGCAGTCACAGCCTCAGCCTCAGCCTGCCTCCTCCTCCTCCTCCTCTTTCTCCTGCTCCTCCTCCTCCTCCTCCTCCTCCTCCTCCTCCTCCTCTTCCTCCTGCTCGTCCTGGTTCTCGTCCTCCTCGTCTTGCTCGTCCTCCTCCTCCTGGTGCTCTCCTCCTCCTCCTCCTCCTCCTCCTCCTCCTCCTCCTCCTCCTGGTGGTCCTCGTTCTCCTCCTCCTGGTGCTCTCCCCCCCCTCCTCCTCCTCGTCCTCCTCCTCCTCCTCCTCGTCCTCCTCCTCCTCTTCCTCCTCCTCCTCCTCCTCCTCCTCCTCCTCCTGGTAGTCCTCCCCCTCCCCTCCTCCTCCTCCTCCTCCTCCTCCTCCCTGGTCGTCCTCGTTCTCGTCCTCCTCGTCTTGCTCGTCCTCCTCCTCCTGGTGTTCTCTCCTCCTCCTCCTCCTCCTCCTCCTCCTCCTCCTCCTCCTCCTGGTGGTCCTCGTTCTCCTCCTCCTGGTACTCTCCCCCCCCCTCCTCCTCCTCCTCCTCGTCCTCGTCCTCCTCCTCCTCCTCCTCCTCCTTCCTCCTCCTCCTCCTCCTCCTCCTCCTCCTCCTGGTACTCCTCCCCCTCCCCTCCTCCTCCTCCTCCTCCTCCTCTTCCTGGTCGTCCTCCTCCTCCTGGTCGTCCTCCTCCTCCTGCTCGTCCTCCTCCTCCTCCTGCTCGTCCTTCTTCTCCTGCTCCTCCTGCTCCTCGTCCTGCTCCTGCTCGTCCTCGTCCTCCTGGTCTTGCTCGTCCTCCTCCTCGTCGTGCTCTTGCCCCTGCTGAAAATGTGGCCCAGGAATGGGAGTTCTGGGAAGTCGAAGAGCACGAAGTTGCCTATAGTTGGCTACGGGCATTCAAAATGTGGCCCGGGAATGGAGTTCTGGGAACTCGAAGAGCACGAAGTGGCCTACAGTTGGCTCCGGGCATTCAAAATGTGGCCCGGGAATGGAGTTCTGGGAACTCGAAGAGCACGAAGTGGCCTACAGTTGGCTCCGGGCATTCAAAATGTGGCCCGGGAATGGAGTTCTGGGAAATAGAAGAGCACGAAGTGGCCTACAGTTGGCTCCGGGCATCCAAAATGTGGCCCGGGAATGGCGTTCTGGGAACTCGAAGAGCACGAAGTGTGTGACTGTTGCATCCGGCCCCCCAGAATGTGGCCCGGGAATGGCGTTCTGGGATGTCGAAGAGCACTTTGTGTGTGACTGTTGCATCCGGCCCCCCAGAATGTGGCCTGGGAATGGAGTTCTGGGAAGGCGAAGAGCACGAAGTGTGTGACTGTTGGTGAAAAACGAGCCCGGCTCATGCCGCCCGGAAACGCCCCAACACCTGCCCGGACCCCCCTGTGGAGTGATCTGTGAGCTCTTTTGAGACCACTAGAAACCTATCAGTCTTCGCTGTTAGGTAAAAAATCCGCCACCGTGCCACCTGGGACGTCGAGGCTAGAGGCCTCCTCATGGGTTCCGAGCAGCTGGGGTCGGAGGATCACGCCGCATCGCTGGTGCATCTCCGATGCGTCGGCGATGCATCGGCGATGCGTCGGCGACGTCGGCGATACATCGGCGATGAAGGCGTGGAGAAAATCGGGCTCCAACTCGCGCCGCATCGCCGAGGCAACGGCGATGCGGAGCGATCCCCCGACCCATCGGCTCGGACCACATCTGGGAGGCCTAGAGAGG